CTGTGTGATGTCATCATTTTAAAAGTATTACATCAGATGATACTCAGTACTCAAGTAGCCTTCTAATCAGATACTTTTTTTACCCTTACTTGAGTAATAATCCCTATATCAGGAAAATATTGTCCTCGGTTTGTGTCCTTCCAGTGAGCGTTGCAGATGTGGGAAAATGTCATCAGGCAGTAATCGTTGTTAAATTCATAATTATTCTCGGAGAGAGACCAACTCTTATCTGCCCCTGGGAGCCCCGTAATGCAAAGCGTCATTTCAACATGGGGGTGTCCGCGACACGGTTTATATGCAGGTAGCGGCGCTGCGGCTGCTTTATATAGCGACTCGTTGCATTCTCCCTCAACCCAAATCCTGCAAATCATGCATTTTAGCTAAAGCGCTAACGTTAGCTTGCCTTGCGTTAACTGTAGAGTTGTGGGTGATGGTCACGCAGATGTGTCATGAGATTTGAAGCGTTGCTGCCTTTCACAGACATGTTTTCTGCACATGCTGCAAACAGGATAGCCGTCTTCTATTAACTGTCCCTCGGCATTCTTCAAATATCCAAAAGATGCCTGTACTTCCCACTTTGTCTTCTTTGAGGGATAATAAATGTCCTGAGTGCTACCATCTCCTCCTTTGGCCATTATTTCAGCTTTAGCCTCAAGAAAGTTTTGGTTGTAAACAACAAAGTGCGCATGTGCCGCCGGCAACTTCAGCAGATGATACGGTGGCTGGTAAGGGTCACCGCGCCTACACCGCAGCCACGGTAACCCACCGAGATAATATAGTTTTTTAAAAACAAGACGGTTATTATTATTGTCAACTTTTTTTTTACCGCTACACCGGTTACTGTGACAACCCTATTCCTCAGAAATGTAGCTAGGTTTGTCACTAGGCGTTAGTGAAAGTTAGCTAGGCACTACCTCTCTCTCTGCTGCTAAAGCTACGGATAGCAAATGCTACGGGCGATGCCTGAGCGTGAACGCGCATGAAGCAGCCTGCTCGACCCGAGCATCTCTCTTTTTCTGTGATTTTACAGAAAAACAGGCAATCACAGTAAAAATGCCAGGGCTCATTCTACAGGACCAGGGCATTGCAGGAGAATGTATGAAGAAGAAATTTATTATTTCTATACATGTTTTGGCTGTCACACTTCCATAATGTCCCTTGAATAAAAAAAAAAGTAAAGGACAGCTCCTTTATTCTTATCGGATCGGGTCTCGGTTTTTTCAGATGCTCAAAAAGATCATTTTGGATAAAACAAACTACATTTCTGACATCTTCACTAAAAGCCGGGTCGTACCTGCAGCATAAAGAAACAGTAGATTGGCCTCATTCTTCGTTAGAAATCATTCGACTACAATTTATTTGGATTTAAGCCTTAAAATCTTTTCTCTCTACAGACCTGAAATTGCAGCAGTGTCTTAAAAAGCGCTCCAGTTTCCCCGTAGTGCTTCCAACAATTCCTCGGCGAGGCTTTGGGCCATGCTGTAGTTTTTTAGTCGTCATGTTGCCGAGCTTTAATTGACTCAACAAGGATTTAGCCGTCCTCTAATGAGACTACTTTGAGGACAAAGTCACGCTCATTAGTTCCCAATGATGCTCGATTCACTCTGAAATTTGCCAGATGTGCTTCCAGTTTAGGAAAATATGTTTGAAGATTCCTCCTCCTGGTCTGTTTTACTCCTCTTGTCATTGTTTAAAAGCGCCGGTGCTTTAACGCGTCTCTCCTGTGAGCTGATTGGAGTTTTGATGGAGGATCAGTTAAATGACATAAGTTAGATTAAACTCACAGATTAGGAACAACAAAGGCGGAGCGATGAAAATCAAGAAGAAATTTGGTCTAAAAATAAAAAGAGAGGCTGACAGTAAAAAAAAAACAGGTTGGTAGGACAAAAAAGGGGGTGGAAGGGTGTGTCTGTGTTAGCAGTGGGACAGCGCTGGTTGCTGGGGTGATGGGCGATGTGAGCCGGTGATTAACGGATGTCGTGCCACGCTGGCCGTTAAACGGTGTGGGATTAGAGGACACGCAGCGACCGGCAGCCCGCCGTTAACTGGGAGCGCCGGAGCCGCCCCGCTCGGCACGACCTCCACGGCTTAGCCGGCCTTTCATCTAGCTGAGGGCGGCGGTGAGAGGAGGGGCTGATGGGAAGAGAGACGGGGACAGAGATGGACGCATAATTGCAAAGATATCAACAGATAGCTCTGGCGTTTGCAGTGGCACCCATCCACCATGCCCACAATAATGAGTCTTCATGCTGATGCTTCCATGCTACACACACACACATACACACACACACACACACACACACACACACACACACACACACACACACACACACACACACACACACACACACACACCTTCCCTCTTTTTGCTCTTTCCACCTAGGGAAATAAATTACCTTTATCCTGCGTGTGCTTGTGGGTGTTTCTCTTTGTCCTCTTTTGAGCTTCAGAGATTCGGATTCAGTCTTTCATTTGAGACCTCCGTGCTCTCTGACAGGTGTCTGCCTGCACCATGCAGGTGTGTGTGTGTGTGTTTTGAACTTCATACTTTCCGTTCTTGTTCAGCATCCACAGGTTGCTTGTGTGTGTGTGTGTGTGTGTGTGTGTGTGTGTGTGTGTGTGTGTGTGTGTGTGTGTGTGTGTGTGCGTGCGTGCGTGCGTGCGTGTGTGTGTGTGTGTGTGTGTGTGTGTGTGTGTGTGTGTGTGTGTGTGTGTGTGTGTGTGTGTGTGTGTGTGTGTGTGTGTGAGCCGACTGCTGTTCTGAAAGGGTTTTAGGATGATGGATATGTTCACAATGCTAAGCATTGCTAAGGGTGGAGAGAAGGTGTGTGTGTATATTGAGCGTGTGCACATGTGCATGTATGTACAAGCGTGTGTGTGTGTGTTTGTGCATGTGTGTGTGCACATGTTTGTGTGTGTGTGTGTGCACGTGTGTGTTTGTGCACGTGTGTATGTGTGTGTGTTTGTGCACATGTGTGTGTGTGTGCACGTGTGTGTGTGCACGTGCACATGTGTGTGTGTGCACATGTGTGTTTGTGCACGTGTGTGCACATGTGTGTGTGTGTGTGTGTGTGTGTGTGCACGTGTGTGTTTGTGCACGTGTGTGTATGTGTGTGTGTTTGTGCACATGTGTGTGCACATGTGTGTGTGTGTGTGTGTGTGCACATGTGTGTGTGTGTGTGTGTGTGTGTGTGTGTGTGTGTGTGTGTGTGTGTGTGTGTGTGTGTGTGTGTGTGTGCACATGTGTGTGTGTGTGTGTGCACGTGCACATGTGTGTGTGTGTGCACGTGTGTGTGTGTTCAGAGTTTATTCATTATTTCGTTCAGTTTGATTCCTGCCAGCGTTTAGCGGCTTGTCTGATTCGCCCACTCATGGAGCTCATGGAGTTTCTATTAGCTGCAAAACGAAACTTGCTCACAGATTAGTCAGAAAAAGGTTTCTGGTCTCGGTGCATCGCTGCTCCAACGAGCCGCTGATTAATTATGCACAAAAACACAAGATCGCCGTGTTTTACGGAACTGATTCTTCTCTTTGTTTTTTCGCCATGCAGGCGTTTATCAGACCATTCAGGGAACACCACATCGATCCGACTGCCATCACTCGCCATGACTTCATCGAAACCAATGGCGACAACTGTATGATCCCAATCCTACCGCTGGCTCACATGACTTACAAGTTCCTCACACACACACCAGGTAGCTGTTACACACACACACCTGTTTATTTAAACGAGCCGTGTTTAAGCATGTTTACAACAAGACCGACCGTGAAGTGAAGGTAAGGACTTCAGAAGGTCAGCGACACTCTCCAGCTGTCTGCAGCAGCATCTCGCTCCTTAAAGTGTGGATGTCCTGGAAGTTGTTGGATGGTACGAGGAGCTGGTGGTGGCTGTGTGTTCTGACCCCGTGAGCACAGGGCAGGAAGGGAGGGACTGGAGGTGGAGGATCAGCAGGAGAAAAAGCCAAAGCTGTTATTGAGGAGGTGACATCTCCACCTGTCATGTCTGCACTTCAACTCCAGCTTAAAGGTCACTAATGGGAGGAGAGCGGGTCAGCTGACACTAGTTAGTTGGGTTAAAGTTCGTGTTAAGAACAGCGCTGTGGGGTTAAGCTGCTGGAAAACATCTGAAACTGTCTGTAAATCACATTAGCTGCATCTTTAAACATCTGTTTCAGTTGTTTTTACAATAAATCTGCTGATGTCTCTAGTCTGAAGGAAAGCTCTGGTTTCAATTCAATTCAATTCAATTCAAGTTTATTTATATAGCGCCAAATCACGACAAGAGTCGTCTCAAGGCACTTCACATAATAAATATTCCAATTCACAGTTCATTAAGCCAATCAGAAATAATGTGTCCTATATAAGGAACCCAGCAAATTGCATCAAGTCACTGACTAGTGTCAGTGACTATACAGCAATCCTCATACTAAGCAAGCATGCAGCGACAGTGGAGAGGAAAACTCCCTTTTAACAGGAAGAAACCTCCAGAGAATCCTGGCTCAGTATAAGCAACCATCCACCATGACTCACTGGGGATGGAGAAGACAGAGCAGGCAGACACACAGATACACACACACACACACACACACACACACACACACACACACACACACACACACACACACACACACACACACACACACACACACACACACACACACACACACACACACACACACACACACACACAAGTAATGTGTCTACAGTTATATTGTGATGTCTTAGTAGATATTCTATTTGGTGAAAGATAAACTTTATTTAGGGGGGGGGGGGGGGGGGGGATTTAGTCCTGTTCCTCAAAGGTACAATAATCAATCAGTTTATTCAGAAATGATCACAAAACCATCCGTCACCAACCACCAGAACGCAGCAGTAAAGAACCAAAGTCCGTAAACAGGAGCGACCCAGAAGTTTTACCCCTAAGAAGCCACTGCCTCGATGTTATTCCTACATAATTCACCTTTAAATTAAAATGCAACGTTGCTGTTTTATCTCTACTAATTACACAATCCTGAACGAGTTCCCCATGTTGTGTTGGTGCTAATGCTAACGTTTAGCTGCTAGCAGACGAGACACATTCTGCTTCACGTGGGCGGTCCCATGCAGAGATGGGCCGGTCCATGAATTTTCCCAGTGACATAGACGAGACCAGCTTTGTTCCCCTCCTGATGCAGGTGATAGGGGTGGAGAACACGTTCATGATCAGGATAGATTTGTAGCTCAGAGCGAGCAGTGGTATGTCAGTAAGAAGAAGCCTGACACGGTTTGTATGGGAGCCAGACCTTCAACTCATTCACTGCCAGCCGTTTCCTGATCGGTAAAGCCCTTCGCTGCCCGCGTTTTTCACCGTTTTCACTGTTTTTGTAAGAGTCGCAGAACGTTGCGCACTAGGATGATGTCGACGCCAAAACAAAGCGGAGACTCACCTCTTACATCAGGAAGAACCCGCGCGTTCCGAGCGTTATCCGTTCTTTCATAATCCGTTGTTGAATTGTGATCGGCAGAAGCTTTTCCGGTTCGCGCCTCACTTTTTTTTACAGCAGCGGCCCAAAACGATCTCCTAACACATGGATTTCTGCTTCCTGATCACGTGACGTGTGAAGTACGCGGATGAAGATCGACTTTAGAGCTGGGACGTTTGTTCTCACAGTGCGGCGGCTCGTTCTGATGCCCACACAGTAAAAAAATGCCAGTTGGATGGTACGAGGTGCTTAAAAATGACGACTTCTGCAGTGAATGAGTTAAAGGATGAAGCGACGAACTGTGCGGTGCTGCCTGAGCTGAGTCCAGACTGAGTCGACAAAACAAAACATTGGACTTGATGCAGCAAGAACGCAGGTGAAGCAGCCAGGCGCACAGATAGGGTGGGGGATGGGGGGCCTGTCCCCCCCCAGATTCAGATCAACCCACCTGTCCCCCGCACTGAGGCAAGAAAGAAAACAAAATTGGAGGTTTAGCCCTTGAAGCTCCTTTTTCCAGTTACATTGAATGCAGCATGACGTAAACAAACACCGACTCCAGAGGCGCCAAAGTGGTTGCTGTTAGGATGCAGGATGAAGCGAAAAAGGAAAGCAACGATTACTGCGTATTTAAAAAAGACCAACAGTGTAAGTAGGCGGGGCCAATCTGTCTGTTTATGCGTGTTGGTTCTAGTTTCAGTACGTCGTTGTCGGTGTTGGGACTTACTCGTTATAAGCGCCAAAGCCTCATTGCTGACTTTAACAAGTCTCATCTACAAATATGAGCCCTCATGAAGTTACTACTTTACACCAGAAGATAGTGGAGATGTGGAACCTTCAGGCTGAGCAAAGTTTGGGAGTTTTTAGAGTTTGAAAATCGCCTCCCGCCGTGAGGCTCCCAGTCGGGGAGAGGAGGAGATGTGTGCAGCATGAAGAGCGCAAATATTAGATAAAACGTATAATTGCCGGCAGGTCTGGTCTTTGTTGACTGATCACTTTGTCTGGTAATGACTGACTCTGATTATGAAGCAGAATATTGACTCTGATGAAGAAATTCACTCATCCAGCCCAGAAGATTGACGCTGCTGCAGCATCAGACAGCTGGTGCTGCACGAGAGGTGTTTTGAGTTTACGAGCTCCAAACGTTGGGTTTGATGTTGGTTTAACCTTCTCTGGGACGTGATGGGTGTAGAAACTATGGTAAAACACCGCAAACGTGACAGACGTAGCGACAATGTGAAAAAAAAAGCCGTAAAAAAGAGGCAGATGCCGATGCGTTAGATATGGAAGTCAAGTGTGCCACATAATCATAAAAAAAGTAAAATATAAAATGTAAAAAGAGATTTATATATTTATATATAAATAAAAACTTTCAAAATATAATGAAAAATTCTAAATAACGTAAAATACGAAGGAACATCGGTTGGTCAGGCTGAAAAGTTTGGGAACTACTGCTCTAAGTGGTAAGTGAATATTGTTTCTTATTATATTTTATGTGCAGTTTTTTAGGGCTTTTATGTTTTCTGTAAAGATTGCTATGCTGAATATCATTTAATGTTTTGCATAAAGCATGAGATTTTGGTTAGTAATTGATTGGGAGAATAACAAATGCATAATGGCTTCAAACACGTATATAAAAGTGTTAGTTTTTACGTAAACATTGGTTGAAATTACACAAACTGACTGAGCTCTAGTTAAGGCTCTTGCAATAGTGTGTGTATGTGTTTGGGGGAGGGTACATTGGAACTTTGTCCTATCTGCGCCCCTGGAAGCAGCTTGGTCCCGTTTCTCCATCAGGACGTCTGTAGATTGCAGAAGTTTGGTGAAATCAAATGATTCCATAAGTAAGAAAACCAGGTTTAAAGTGAGAACCTCTTCAGACGGGTAAATAAAAGGTGATGTTCGCCATGAAGGATCAGGAGTGAAGACCCGTAGGCGACATCCACACCTGTCAGATCACCATGGGGGTCACAAGGTCACCAAACAGAGAAGGAAACGCAGCAACGTCTCCACCTGTCATGTCCGCTCCTGAAGAGGTCGCCACTAAGAGTCGGAGGCTGAGAGCACTTGGTGACGACGGGGGCTCTCGGGGCGGGTGGGGGGGCAGCGGAGGGTCATGTAGCGGTGAGATGACATCTAAACCTGTCATGTCCAGATCCTCACAGCGTCAGACGGTCAGCGGACAGAGACGGCGTTAGAGGGGAAAGCTGACATCTCCAGCTGTCATGTCTGCACTTGAACTGGGGTCAGGAGATTGTAGTTTTAACCAGAACGAGGGACGAGGAGGAGGAGGATGGAGAGGACAGCTGTAAGTCATTTCAGCTCAAAGACTCGAGACAAAAGTTCAGCAGAAAGCCGGATGTTCGGATAAAACCAGACCCATTTTGGGTCAGAACCAGATTTACAACAAACGCTGAGAAGAGTTGGTCCTTGCTGTGAGTCCTGATGCGTTTGTCACCTGTCAGGTCAGATCAGCGCCACGCTCAGCCTGCTGCTGGAGAATTCAAGAAGCCGCTCGGTTTCATTTTAAAAACGCGATGATGAAAACATTTCAGACACATTAAGGTGTGTTTGGTGTAAAAGATAAACAATTCATTCATTCGTTGTGAACATTTAGCACTACGACAGGGTGAAGCAAGAAAAGGAAAGGGAGCAACACCGAGGAATCCACAAATCCCGAACGGCCTCTGTGAGGAGAAATAGTTTATGTCCTTCAAGACTGATGGGCTAACAGCTAGTCTAAGTCCTAACTGTCAGCACAACTGCACAGACAAACCCCATCTTGGTCTCTTCGTTCGGCTAAGCGAGACCTGTTGGTGGTCTCCCGCTCCAAAAACAGACCGAGGGGCGGTCTGGCTCCAACGCTCTGGTACCAGTTACCTCTGAGTGTTAGGCAGGCGCCATCGCTTCTGGTTTTTAAGTCTCTCCTTAAGTCTCGTTTTTATGTGATGGCGTTTCACCGTTAGGGGTTGCAACATCTTGATCTTTGATTGTTTTTAGCTGGTTTTTATGTTAGTTTCCTGTTTTTATTCAACATTCTTTTAACGATTTTATGATCTTTCTTTTCATGATAACAGCATTACATTTGTTCTTATTGCGAGTTTTATGGTTGTGTTCAGCACCTTGGTCTGCTGAGAAGGTCGCAGAGACTAGCTGTTAGCCCATCGATGACCAAACTCTTCAACAGGAGGGCCAAAAATGTCAGCGTCTACGTTGTTGTTAGCAACGAAATGCTATTTTTAATTAAAAAAATAGAAAAAAAATAGTTTAGGGTCATGTTTAAAAATGTTTTATATTATTGAAATGGACACATCTGTTAAAATATGAGCAAACAAAATGTTTATGAAGCGAAATCAACAGCCTGCTGGAGACTAAACTCTACCGTTAGAAATGCGGCCCACAAACGGCCCCTGGGCCTGAGTTAGCCAATCAGATCAGTGATAACAACCATATAAATAAATAACACCTAAAAACAGATAAAACACAAAGGGCAGGAAAATCAGACGTGTTCATCAGATGAATCCCTCGCTTCTCATGACGCAGAAAGGTTTTACTTCCTGTTCGCCGTTAACAGAAATGTCACCGATTGTTCCTCACATCTTGGTTCCGACTTGAGGCTTTTTCACCACCTGTCTCTGTTAGATTGATGCTTTCCCGTCCTCTGACTCATTCTTCTGGTTCACAGCTTTGCATCGCCGCTCGCTGTGTAAAATTCAGTTTCGGTGCCACTTTGTCACAGTTGGTAAAGCACTTTATTCCCTCAGCTGAGCTGCAGCTTCGCCTGCATCTGAACGTGAAACGAAAAGCTGCTCGCAGTCCGTCCGTCCTGTCGAGATAAAAATCACGAGGTGCTTCACAAGAAAAATATTAGATAAAATAGCAAAATTATTTTAAAAGATCTGAATAAAAAAAGGGAGAAATTTTAGAAAAATGCTCCTGAAGACGGGATAATTTCATTTTCAGTCACAAATAAGGGCGGCTTCAGAAAACGTCATCATACAAAAGATTTGTCCGTAAAGCACCCGAAACCCTCAAAGAACGTTCTAATGGTGGGACTTTCTGTCAGATACCAGGAGAAAAGTGTTCTAGTGTGTGTGTGTGTGTGTGTGTGTGTGTGTGTGTGTGTGTGTGTGTAAACCCCGCTGGTCGTTTAACGTTGACTAAAATTTCAAATGTCACATCTGTCTCCATCTCCTCTCAGAGGCCTTGGTGGCGTCCTACCCCTGGGACTGCTACGTCTTTGCCTTGGCGTTCTTTGTGACACTGACCAATCAGATTCATAAGTGGAGCCACTCCTACTTCGGTCTCCCTCGATGGGTCACGCTGCTTCAGGACTGGCATCTGGTGTTACCACGGAAACACCACCGCATCCACCATGTCTCGCCACATGAGACGTATTACTGCATCACTACAGGTAGGAGCGTCCATGTTTGTCTCCAGGACGGCTGTTTCACAACCGTGACTCAGTCGTGTCTCAGCATGCGGCCATCTTGGTTTCATCTCTGGAATGATCCGTGGAGGAGACGATGAACCCAGAAGCCAAGCATGGATCAGTCTGAAGGTTACCTGGTCCTGCTGCTTCTATCGGGACTCCTCGTGTAAAATGATCACTACTATTGAGTTTAAATCACCACAGTTACACTGTGTAATAATAAAAATAATAGTTATAAAAGAAATGGAAAATCTGGAGTCAAATATTTGGAAATATGAAAAATCTTGACTTTTATAAAGCGTTTGTTTCCTCCAGATGTCCGACTTGAGGAACTTTAGATGAGGAATCACAACCTCAGAGCGACAGGAACGCCACATGAAGCACTTAAATATCACTCAGACCCTCCAGATGGTGTGAATGTAGTCTGGAGCGCGGATAGACTGATATCCAGAATAAATCATTTAGCTTCAGAAAGTGACGGTCCAGACTTCCCAGATGGAGCATCAGGATTAGTACCTTCATCAGAAACCTGCTGAACTCTGGTGGCAGGGCCCGTTCCAACTCTGTACTACGGTTATAGAGCTGATTACAATATAGTTGTTATCCACGACTTGTCCTTTTCAGCTGTTCTGTTGGAGACTTGGTGACTGTGGCTGCTTTAGATCTTCATTTGAGCTTCCAGCCTGCTCTGATTGTGTTTACTGGCCCATTAAGACAACAACAGTCTGGTTTTTAAATAAGAAAAGAAAAAGTTGTGTTAGCGAGCTCACGGGCCTTTGGAGACGGGAGGCCTCGGTAACACTCGGTATTCTGTTTGCATCTGGGTGAGAGCGACAGAGGGATGATGCACATGGGGGACTCAGCTTGTACGTCACGCTGCGCCCCAGTGGACGACAGATGTGTGAGTCGACGGGGGCGGCGCGCTGGAAGTGTGTGCCTGCACAAGAACACACTTGCATACGTGCTCTGGTTGCTCTCACCTCCTCTTGGGTTCCTAACCTGTGCGAGCAGGGAAGGAGGTGGTGGTCGGGGACAGGGGGCCACGGGGGACCGCGGTGGCCCCCTGCTCCTGCTGCCTGGACCCGGTGCAGATTCCTCCGAGGCTCGCCTCGCTGCCTTTGTGTTCACCACCGCCTGACGATCCCCATGTATATTTAATGCTAACCTGCTGTCTGCTCTAACAAATAGGACTTCACAGGCGGGGGGGTCACGTGGGGGTAGGAGGTAGGGGTATTAGAGGGATGGAAAAAGCAGAATCATGTGGAGAAAGGAGAGTGAAATTAAACAAAACCTGAATTTTTTACAACCTAACAGAGACGACACACACACACACACACACACACACACACACACACACACACACACACACACACACACACACACACACACACACACACACACACACACAGACACACAGACACACAGACACACACACACACACACACACACACACACACACACAGTAGAAACAAATGCATTGTGGGTGAGTGTGTGTTTCAGCTTAAACACACATGAATGACTATACTTTTATCTCTCAGTTTGTCGTTCTGTTCCTGTGTGTGTGTGTGTGTGTGTGTGTGTGTGTGTGTAGTAATGATAGTGGGATGATCTTTATCTCATGGGTCTGAATAGCGATTGGCTGCTTCCTACATCAGTGTGATTTAGGAAGAGATGAGTGTGTGTCAGAGTTTATTAGACTGTCGTGCACGTGCACGTGCACAGGTGAAACTGTAAAGACTACAATCTGGTGCAAAAGCGTATTTCTGTCACTAATCCAGCCTAAATGGTAAATGGCCTGTATTTGATGTAGCGCTTTCGAGAGCCCTGGAACCCCCCAAGGCGCTTTACAACACAATCAGTCATTCACCCATTCACACACTGGTGGTGATGAGCTACGATGTAGCCACAGCTGCCCTGGGGCGCACTGACAGAAGCGAGGCTGCCGAGCACTGGCACCACCGGTCCCTCCGACCACCACCAGCAGGCAAGGGGGGTTAAGTGTCTTGCCCAAGGACACAACGACAGCGACAGACTGAGTGGGGCTCGAACCTGCAACCTTCCTATTACGGCGCGAGCACTTAACTCCTGTGCACCGTCTAAAGGGAGAAACTAATCTGAGACAGACTCATTCCAGACGTGACGATTGCGGCTTACTGTTGAAAACCTCACATTCAACATGTCAGACAAAAGGTTCAACATTCTAGATTCAAAGTGTCACACTCTGGTCAGCTGATGAATCCAGGACATCTGGAGAGGGTTCCTGAGCCTTTAGATGGTCTCTCAGTCTGAGCTGGAACACTGACATTCTGTTTTTTACTGTTTCACCTGTGAACGTATTTTGGCCTGCAGTCAAACACAGTCACAGCTCTGCAGCCCTGGAGTAACATACAGTGTGTGTGTGGTTAAGGAAGTCTCCTGGGAATGCTCTCACATCCCTCCATCCCTCGTTGCATAGTGATGGGAATGAGACAGGAGGCTGGAATTCTGTAGAAATTTAAACACGAGCAGTCGGGAATAAAAACGAGAGACGATGGGTGCTGGAGGAGTCGAGGCTGAGAGGGATGAACAGATAGGCTAACTACTGACTGAACTCTAAGGGGGAAGTGGGCGGAGCCTCTGACTACATTAAAATAAGCAGGAATCTTAAACCGTTGTCTCTTTTGTACCAGATTAAAGTTGCAAAAACAGACGAATCTGCTGATTAAATCATGACACATTAAAGGGGCATAATGGAAGTTTGACAGCCAAAACATGTATAGAAATAATAAATGTCTTCTTCATCCATTCTCCTGCAATGCCCTGGTCCTGTAGAATGAGCCCTGGCATTTTTACTGTGATTGCCTGTTTTTCTGTAAAATCACAGAAAAAGAGAGCTGCTCGGGTCGAGCAGGCTGCTTCATGCGCGTTCACGCTCAGGCATCGCCCGTAGCATTTGCTATCCGTAGCTTTAGCAGCAGAGAGAGAGACAGTGCCACTTTGTCGCTGTTCCTAACGCCTAGTGACAAAGCTAGCTACATTTCTGAGGACCCTTAGCTACTTTCTGTAGAACTTTCTTCTAGATATTTCCTGCGATTTATCAACAAAATAGCCATTTTCGCTTCGAACCGTTCTTTGAACGTTGTTTCAGCTGTCATCAACGATATAAATGTTACAGATACCAAAATGTCAGTGGTGGTTTAGCTCATCTAGTTAGATGTTGGACTCTCGTGCAGGAGACCTGGGTACGATTCTGGGTGAGAACACAGTTTTTTTAGAGTTTCTTTTTTTTACATTAATGGTATTTTTTTTTTAAAGTAAGATGCCCAAATTTTTATTTGAGACTCGCCGAACGGCATTGAATTCACAGATAAAAAAGATGTGGGTTCAACTTTCATTTTGGAACAATTTTTCAAGCAAGGGAAGGGAATGATCTGAGCATGCAGGAGGACTGACCCATCATAAACCTTTGCCGGCTGTGCTGAAGAGAAAGGTACAGAACCAAATTATTTAATTAATTAGCTGCTCATTCTCCTGTCCTCTGTCCTCCAGGCCACCCCACCACACACACACACACACACACACACACACACACACACACACACACACACACACACACACACACACACACACACACACACACACACACACACACGGGACTGTCAGCTCTCAGAGCTCTGTGAAGCTGTTTTTTGTTAAGGAGTGTGCACGTACAGCATGCGCGCCTCGTGCACGAGCCTCCTATTGAAGCTGCCGTTACACTTTTGGCCAGAGGGGGCAATAGCGAGCATAAAAATTCAACTCCGTAAAGTCCCTTTAAAGAAGAAAGTAAAAAGATGTGACAATGAATGTATCAATTAATTTTGTTGATAGTTTATTTAAAAATAAACTGTTTATGACTAAATAAAAGGATTTTTTCCTTTAAATCCTACCAGAGTCCAAAACCTGATGGATCCACAGAAACGTCAGCATTTGGTCATCTTCCTCTCTTCCTGTCCTTTCCTAAACTTCCCAATCTGGTTTGTGACATTCCAGGTTGGTGTAACTACCCTCTGGACCAGCTGGGATTCTGGAGAAGGATGGAGCGTCTGATCCAACACCTGACCGGAGAGAAACCTCGATCAGACGACATGGCCTGGGCCAAAAAGACTGATGAATGAGTCCAGTCCGACCAGTACCGGGGTGGGGGCGGGGCCACAAACTTACTTCATCATCTGCAAGAGAGCAAACATTTTAAAATATGAGAGCAAAAAATATGAATGATGTGATAGTTGTGGAGGTTCATGTCAACAGGAAGTGAACACCTGGTCATTTTTATGGCCCTTTTGACCCACAAGATGTGCTGATGAATCTGGAGGTTGGGCTCTCCGGAAGAGATGCCAAGCTGCTTAACACACACACACGCACGCACACACACACACACACACACACACACACACACACACACACACACACACACACACACACACACACACACACACACACACACACACACACACACACACACACACACACACGGGACTGTCAGCTCTCAGAGCTCTGTGAAGCTGTTTTTTGTTAAGGAGTGTGCACGTACAGCATGCGCGCCTCGTGCACGAGCCTCCTATTGAAGCTGCCGTTACACTTTTGGCCAGAGGGGGCAATAGCGAGCATAAAAATTCAACTCCGTAAAGTCCCTTTAAAGAAGAAAGTAAAAAGATGTGACAATGAATGTATCAATTAATTTTGTTGATAGTTTATTTAAAAATAAACTGTTTATGACTAAATAAAAGGATTTTTTCCTTTAAATCCTACCAGAGTCCAAAACCTGATGGATCCACAGAAACGTCAGCATTTGGTCATCTTCCTCTCTTCCTGTCCTTTCCTAAACTTCCCAATCCGGTTTGTGACATTCCAGGTTGGTGTAACTACCCTCTGGACCAGCTGGGATTCTGGAGAAGGATGGAGCGTCTGATCCAACACCTGACCGGAGAGAAACCTCGATCAGACGACATGGCCTGGGCCAAAAAGACTGATGAATGAGTCCAGTCCGACCAGTACCGGGGTGGGGGCGGGGCCACAAACTTACTTCATCATCTGCAAGAGAGCAAACATTTTAAAATATGAGAGCAAAAAATATGAATGATGTGATAGTTGTGGAGGTTCATGTCAACAGGAAGTGAACACCTGGTCATTTTTATGGCCCTTTTGACCCACAAGATGTGCTGATGAATCTGGAGGTTGGGCTCTCTGGAAGAGACGCCAAGCTGCTTAACACACACACACACACACACACACACACACACACACACACACACACACACACACACACACACACACACACACACACACACACACACACACACACACACACACACACACACACACACACACACACACACACACACACACACACGGTTTTCTGTATTTGGTTGGAACGACCGGGCCTTGCACGGTGGAGCCTGAAGGGCCGTTCTGCAGCTCGCTGCTGGTCTGCCTTAATCTTTTTATCTACTGTTTGATCTGAATAAAGATTTCCAAACTCTAAACGTCTCCGCTCAACTTTAATCTCGAACACAAACACCTGACAGCTCTGCTGCGGTAGAAGATGAAGAAAGTATAATTTCTATTTCACCTCTCAAGATAAAAATCACGAGGCGCTTCACAAAAACAAAAAAATGTAAAAATATAAAAAAGCATTTAGAAAATGTTTAAAAATATATCTAAAATGAGCAAAATTAGACAATTGTGATAAAAAAAATAAGAAAGAGAGAGAGTGAATAGGAAAGAGGGAAATCAGTGGATCCTGAGGAAGGTGGATTAGGTGGGGAGAGCAGAATAAAGAGAGAGAGGTGAAGAAGGTCATACAAAAACCAGCTTGAACAAGTGAGTCTTCAGCTGCTTTTTAAAGGAGACCACTGAGTCCACTGATCTCAGGCTCAGGGGGAGAGAGGTCCAGAGTCTGGGGGCCACAGCAGCAGATGATCTGTCACCTTTGGTCTTCAGCCTGGTGCTGCACAACCAGTAGACTTTGATCACTGGACCTCAGGGACCTGCTGGGGGTGTAGGGACTAAGAAGATCACCAATGTAAGATGGTGCTTGTCCATGTAAGGCCCTATAGACCAGAACCAGGATCTTGAAAAGAACCCTGAAGTTGACTGGCAGCCAGTGAAGCTGGAGGAGAAGCGGGGTGATGTAGGAGGAGGTCTGACCCGATCCAGCAACAAAACTGTTTATTTATGGATTCCTACAAAATAAAAGCGCAAAACCGGTTAATCTGTTTCATTATTTGTTTGCTTAGAAACGTGTTGTGTAGAAATGTGATGTTAAATTCACTTCTGAGCTTGCAGCACCCTCTGGTGGCATTTTTCCAGAACTACTATAAGGATTGTGACTTTGGGGGGGGGGGTCAGATTCAGTTTTAATTGGAGTGACGGTAAATGTGCAGATTTTCCTTAATCTACAGATCTGTACGGTAGAACCTTTTCATTTGGAAACAAACTTACCTTTAGCAGCAACACTGAATGTGGAACACTTAAATTACACACTTGAAATAAAGCACACATCAGTGGTATTCGTTACTTATGTCTCAATTTTGTATTCCTTAAATTGTGTTTAATTACAGCTTTTTTTATTAGAATCTTAAGTATTTCTGTTTTTATGTTGTTTACTCTGTTCTTATTGTTTACTTCCTTTGTTGCTCCTTTAATGAACGTTATTGCTGATGTGACTCCAAACTTTCCCCACTAAGGGACAATAAAGACTTGTGTCAAGCCAGCCTCCAGTTGGAGACTTGTAGTCAACAACCCCACAGTGATACTTTATCAATATCAAGTTATTCTGATTTTGCCTTCCAAAATAAAGGCCTTTTTAAATCGTCCACAATTGACCTAATTTTCTGTGATTTCAAAATGCTCTAAAATAGTAAATCGCTGTTTCCACAGGGTAATTCCACTTTCGATCAACAGTATACAACCCCAGTGATACTTTAATAATATCAAGTCATTCTGATGTTGCCTTCCAAAATAAAGGCCTTTTTAAATTGCCTATATACGACTAACTCTTAACAATTTCAAAATGCTCTTAAATAGATTTTTGCTGTTTCCACAGGATGATACATGTTCGATCAATAGTATACAACCACACAGTTATTCCATATCAATATTAAGTCAGTCTGATTTTATTTATTAAAATTTACTGAAGTGGATTTCTTGTCTTTACATATAATGACACAATATTTTCTTTGAATTTGTAATGTTATGAAATAGAACCATTTTCATAAAAGTAAGATCGGTAAATCTGTTTATCTTTGAAAATAAATCCCAGAAAAAGGGAACAGCTCAATACAAGGAGAGTAAATTGTAAAGTCCAAAAGGTGCAGTCATGATAACATTAATAGGTAGGTCAATTATGGACATTTTGAAAGGCCTTTATTTTGGAAGGCAACATCAGAATAACTTGATATTGATAAAGTATCACTGTGGGGTTGTATACTGTTGATCTATAGTGTATCTATACTGTTACGTATGTGATCAACATTATTTTTCTTTGCAGAGCCAAATTTGGTCAGAGCTCCTGAGCCTGACAGGTTTAATAATGCTTAATAGCTAAATAATCCCCTCAAGTGGCATATATGCCTTTGCTTAATCTAATCTGGTGACTGGATGGTTTGGAGCCAAGTTACTAATTATTTAACTCTGACTGAACAACGTGTGGAGTTTTTGTAATTTATTTCATCCATCCATTTTCTTCCTCTTATCTGGAGTCGGGTCGCGGGGGCAGCAGCCTAAGCAGGGAGGCCCAGACTTCCCTCTCCCCAGACACTTGGCCCCGCGGCTCCGGGGGAATCCCAAGGCGTTCTCTGCTCAGACAAGAGACATAGTCCCTCCAACGTGTCCTGGGTCTTCCTTTAGGTCTCCTCCCAGTTGGACGTGCCTGGAAAATCTCACCAGGGAGGCGTCCATGCACGATCCTGACCAGATGCCCGAGCCACCTTAACTGGATCCTCTCGATGTGGAGGAGCAGCGGGTCTACTCCGATCCCCTCCCGGATGACCGAGCTTCTCACCCTGAGACTCCGTGGAGAAAACTCATTCCAGCTGCTTTTCTCCTCGATCTCGTTCTTTGGGCCACTACCCAAAGCTCGTGACCACAGGTGAGGGTAGGAACGTAGATCGACCGGTAAATTCAGAGCTTTACCTTCTGACTCAGCTCTCTCTTCACCACTACAGACCGGTACAACGCCCGCATCACTGCAGATGCAGCACCAATCCGCCTGTCGATCTCACGCTTCCGTTTACCCTCGCATGTGAACAAGACCCTGAGATACTTAAACTCCTCCACTTGAGGCAGGAGTTCATCCCTGACCTGGAGAAGGAATTCTACCGGATGGGTGAGTCCATGAATGTTAAGTGACAGTGTGACGTAGATCTGTCAGGCTTCTCTAATCCTAGAGTTTTGACGTCTCTTTTCTATTAGAAGCTAATGCAGGAGATAGGTGTAGGAGACTATTTTCATGTTCAGCCTGCATGAAACACTCAGAGTGACCCGTTAGAATCAGAATTAATAATTAAAACAGGGTTTTTAAGTGAAGTTGACCTATAACCATGGACGTAATTTTAGGGGGGGGGGGGGGGGGGGGGGGGGGGGACAGGGGGGACATGTCCCCCCCCACTTTTTCCAAAATCAAGTTTTGACCCCTGCACTTTTTAACCATCCAAAAACAATATTACCTTATATTAAATTGACACTGGTTGAGCTTTAGGACCAAGCGGAAAACAACCATTTGTGTAGAAGCCTGTTTCCCATTAGAACATACTGTAAAAGATCCCCCCCCCCCACCCCCCACCCCCCCCCCACCCCGTCCCCTGCACTTCTAAAGTGAAAATTACGTCCATGCCTATAACTAGAGGATAAACACTCAGAAGATTAAGTCTACTGTTTGATCCAAGCTCCATAAAATACTTTCTAAAATTTAACAAATCACATAAACTGGTTTGAAGAAAACATCAGTCCTCTCATGCTCTGAAAGATCAAACTCCTGTCTATATCTCATCCCTTTAGCTATGCTCCTCCTACATACAGTAGACTGCTGGAGGATATACTGGCCACATTTCCTCAGGAACACTGTGGGATCCTTCGGAAGAAGCTGCAGTTTCTTTGGGAATGATCCTGGATCTGGTTCCTCCGTGTCCCGATGGATGGATGTTG